AAAACTATGTAAATGAAATATTTTCAGTTATGATGAAAACTGCAGAACAAATATAGATTATATATTTACCTGAATCTTGTCAGCAAGTTCTAATACTGTCAGTCCCTTGCTTCCCTCAAGAGATAGTACATGAAAGGCTGCGAATTTGACGGTTCCAGGTGTCAACCGGTGCCTTGACTTGCGAGGGGCGAGCAACCCTTTCTCCCGCATCGATGCAAAAGCACTTTCAGCTGCTGAACCATTTCGGATAGTAGAAATGATATCTTCACAACCTTTAGCCTGCATACACAACCAAACCAAAACAATGGTTAAGAAAAAACTAAAACCATCTTTATGTCAAAAGCCTCGCTTAGCTTCCAGGATTTCATTTTTTGTTTACATATATACTACTACCATCACATCCTGAGTAAACACTCGTTAGGATTTAGGGGGCACACAAACGTGAATAAGTACCTCATCCTTATCACCAGTATTGGTCAATCGGGAATGTTTTTTCTTCAGCCTAGGCCCAAATCCAGCAGAGAGTGCCAATTGTCGCAGTATTTCAGGCCATGTTAGTGGATTCAAGTGCTTTTTCCAGCTACGAATGTCAAAGCCCCATGCATAAGCCTGAAAGAGAAAAAAAAAACATATGAAAGATGAAGCCCACTGAACAAAACCAGCAAGAGAAAAGCATATTAACATACGAAGAAAGTTACCCCTTCAACTATTTGCGGATGTCCACCCTCAGGATTGGCTGTAGTATATTGGTTATTTCCAATTCCACTAAAGGGTGTCCTAGCAACATCTTCGATATCTCGTATTATCAATCTCAGAAGAGTAACATGTATCTCCCCCAACAACCTTGAGTCCTACAATAGAATCTATATCAAATACAGAGCAAGAACAATGAAATGAAAGAAACAACTATAGAACACGAGAAAACATGCCATAGGTACTAAAGAGAGACTTACATAGTCATGAAAAGCCTGAATAAACTCATCCAGAGTAAAAGGCCATAGGTCAAGAACATCAGAAAATGATATCAGGAATCTCCAAACCTGAAAAGCAATCACAATATAAGAAATGTGAAATGTGTGAAAGGGGTGGCGTAATACACGAAAAAACAAATCCAACTGAATCCAAATTGGTCTCTAAGTTATTCTGATCATAATACTAATTTTAAATGAGGTAGCAGCCGGAGAGAGGATAAAGATCAATATAGCATACCATTAGAAGGTTTCCAACAGTTTCATCAGAATCTTTCCATGGAGAAATGGCAAACGGCATTTTTAGTTGCAAAGACTTCGGTGGAAATGTGCTCAGAGAATCTGAAAAAGTAGAGTAGCTATGATGACTTGCAAGATCCAGAAATAAATAACAACACTGTAATAAAGCTAAGGCACTCGAGTAAGGTGTAAGCAAATTACTTTGACTGTCTTGATTTCGGTAAGTATATGAAGCAGATAGATTTATAAGAGAAAGCAAATACAGAAGCTACTACCCTACCTAGAAAGCAATGCAATTACAATAAATCTTGGCAGTGTTCTAACATGCTACATCAATATGGAATATTCCAGACAAGGCCATATCATGTACCAAACTAAGAACGTAAAAATTAATACTAAGCTTAAAATTTCAGAGAGGAAAAAGACTATAATAAATTACCAAAATAATTGATTGTAAAGCCTAAAAACTAAGTAGACCGTTAAGGTCGTGATTACCAAATCCACTACTAACTAAATCTGAGAGACCATACCTCTATACACTTCAAGATTTTGCAATGTGTCGTGATCAAGCTGTAATGCTGAGGGCAATCCTTTGCTAATAGCAGCCAATTCCATCAGTTCTAGCTGCTCATCTTCAATAAGATCCATAGACTCCTTGGCAATTCTACGTGCAGTTGCCTTCTCAATGGCAAGCTTGCGTCTAATAGCGTCTCTCTCTCGACGAATCTCGTCTTTTTGCTTCTTTTTCTCCGCCTTTAACATGTCAACAAAAAGATAATTTTCACTTTCCCAACTCTTGCCACAAAAGTTGCTCAATCTCAGCAGGATTAATAAAAAATACTAAAGAATAACAACTGGGCAGAGTTTTCCAAACTTACCCTTTCATTTTCTCTCTGTAAGAACTTTTCTCTTCTTTCTATTTCGCGACGCTGCTCACGCTGTAACCTCTCCTCTTCTTTTATTCTTTCACGCATCAACCTCTCTTCTTCCTTACGCCTCTCACGCTCGTTCTTTTCCATCTCTTTTCTCATGCGTTCTTCATTCTGAGGACACAAGCATCAACTCATCAATATATATGTTACAATGATACGAATAAAAGACAATAAGACCTTTCCAAATATTCAGTAAGAAGATGATAAATGTAGAGCAAATACTTTTTTCCTCTGAATTTCTAGCTTCTCAAGATCTTTTGGCCCATGATTCTCTCGGATTTCACTTCCTCTTCCAAGTCTATCATCGTTAATCTGTGAGAGTAAACATAGAAAAATGACATTACAACAAAGACACATCTTGTCAACAAAAACGGATGGAATCAAAGTTGGCACATGAAGCTACCTTTCCCTTCCGATGCACATCATTACTCTTACGCACCCCATCAGGCAACAAATATGGATCTTCTGTACCGAGAACTGATGAATCCTTTTCCAGCAGGAATCTATCACCACGATGAGCTGATTCAATGGGGATTGGCATGTCTTGTTGAGATGTAGAACAGTTACGAGACGCATGCCCAGGGGTAACATAGGACCTTGGTAAAGGCCCATTCGCGTGCATAAATGATGAGCTCCTAGAACGTGCAATTTCATAGTCCATACCACGTGCATGATTTTCAGAGTATCGTCCATACATCTCAGGTGTAAAAGAAGACGGATCATCCAGAGATTGTTGCTCATGGAAAGAACGGGCAGCAGCATGAGACTATAATCAACAAAAGCAAATAAGTTAAGCAAAGTAGTAAAAAGAAAATATAATAAAACTATGATTACATGAATGGACAAGAAAGAAAATATAAACAGCAACGCAGAATTCATCTTTCGGACAATGACGAGAGACTAATAACTGCCATAAGACTAATATGTCAACCTCTATGCAATGAGAACTCTAAAAACTACTCCTACCATAAAATTCATAGACCATCAGTCTATGGTAACCTCTTCAACTGGTCAATTTGAGATATATAGGTGTAGCTCAGAATAAAGAAACTAAATAGAGCATATCTTTTTAGTCAGAAAACTAACTCTTCGAGGTCGGGCATCATATCGCTCATACACATTGCTCTCATACGGATGAACTAAGTGTTTCTGCATCCCTGCAATGACAGTGAAAACAAAGTTAAAGAGTTACTTATCACAAGAATTGTAATACGAACACTAACATCAAGAATGCCATTGGTTATACAAGTCATAAAACACGGCAAACATAGAAAGTAATGCATACCTATAGGTGTTCCGAATGCACCCGGAGGCAAAGGATCAAACTCCATGCCAAGAATAGGTCCATCATCTCTCAATGGCTCACCTAACTGTGCCTCAATACAGACAATAGCTCTACGCACCATTGTCGACAACCGTGACTCATAACTCGCCTTTCCCATTGTGTCGTATTCATCCAATTCAGCTCGAGAACTACTACTACCACTCGCAAAATTCCTCCTTGAGTTGGAATAAGGGCTGCAACCTGACTCAGAACCCGAATCAGATCTGGAATCTTGTTCAGGTACCGATCCAGCAGGCGGTAACTCGTTAACCGAAGACGCTAAAGCAGACGATTGAACCGCAACCGCTGATTTCCCCGGTTTCTTAGACTGACCATCCTTCTTGTCCTTTAACCGTCTATGGCAAAACCACATCTGTAATTGTCGATCTGACAAATCCAATTTCTCAGATAAGTCAGCCCTCGTTGCCTCCGAAGGATACGTCTCCTCTGAAATCAACAACAACAGAGAAACAAGGAACAATTCAACAACATGAATACTAAAAACAACAAAGAGAAGAAGAAGAAGAATCAAATAATTGAGATGAATCAGAAGAACCTGAATAAACTTTCTCCAAGGTTTCAAGCTGAAACGGAGTTTTCATCTGACGCTTAGGCTTGACACGAGCACCATCCTTGGAGGAGGAATTATTATCAATCTTCTTCTTCTTATGAAGATGATTAGCACCAACATCACCAACGCTCCTGATCTGATCTTCATCTCCATCAGAACCCATCTCCATGAAAGAGAAGAAGAAGAAGAAACCCAGAAACGGCCGCAAGAATCAAAGAACACAAAAACAAAAACTAGGGCTTTCAACAAACAAACCCTGATCCCAAATTATAATTGTCGAAAAACGTAAAAAAAAAGAAGTAGAATATATAAGAGTAAGAAGAAGAAGAACAATAATAATAGTAAAATCGATAAAAACCAAAAAGGAAGAAAAACAACAACAGGGCTCGTACCACTCATCTCAATTTCAACCTTCTTCATATTCTTTTTTTTTTCTCTTCTAATTAAAATCTTGTTTCTTATTAAAAAAAAAAGTTTTTTTTTTTGTGTTAATGAAAAAAAAAAATCGAAACTTGAGGATTCTACAGCGAATCGCGTGCTTATGTGTGTTTCTGCCGTTGATGTGTTTATCAAAGAAGCTTTTTATGATTGATGCAAATCTTCCTCCTTTTTCTTCTTTTTTTATTTACTATTTGATTTTATTAATTAGTAGTTAACTTAAACTAAATTAATACAACAACTCTTGAAGGGCTTCACGAGCTTTGGTCTCGTGTTTGTGTGTTTTTTTGTCTTTCAGATCCGCAGGTTGCAAGATTATCATCATATCCACCAGTTTTTTTGGGAACCACTTGTGTTGAGAGTAAACATTACGCCGTTTATTGTTTTGGAGTTTACAATCCTTGTCGTCTTTTACATGTTATTTTAACCGGTTCAATTCAGTTTTTTAAATCCCGGTTATGTTGTCGTCCCTGAATTGAAATCAAGCACAGAGAAATCGAAAGAACCTTGAAGTACGATTCGACTCAAAGTAGGAAGCTTTGACTCGAAATCTCGGTGAAGAAGAAGAGGAGAGACGAAACTGTTGTCTTATTTCCGGCGCCGGGAACGTCGGAACTCCGGTGAACAGAGAATGGGGATGCATTTGGCTGCTCTGTTTTTCATTATTTCACCACTCTGCGTTTTCTCCTCTGAAGTCCAGCTGATAGGTTCTAATCAAAACTTGGTCAATGATCTGGACGCAGCTAAGCTCAGAATATCTCAATTGGGTAAAATTTCTCTCTTCTTGTCCCTAGTGCTTTTGGGTTTAGCACAAAATGGTTTTTTTTTTTTGCTAATTGTTTTGTTTTCTGGGAATCGATTGGCTCTGATCGTGTAGAAGCTGTTCTTCAGGCGACCATACAGAAGGTGGATGCTAAGACCCTTTACTTGAAAGAGCGTGAGAAGTTGATCCAAGTTGCTGAAATTCAGATCCATGATTTGCAGTCTGCTTCGTATAGTGACGAGGTTGGTTTGGTTCTCTAAGGAGAATGTATTGAACATTTAGTTATGTGAAGTAGAATTAGCTAAAAGGCTTTAGAAAGTTCCTCTGCTGATGAGGGAATGAATGTGGTAGGACACTCATTAGATCGTCTGTTCTAGTCTTGAGGCTCTCATATGATACCACCTTACTGAGTAATGTTTACTCGGCAAAACTCGATGCCCTATTGAGCTTAATCATTAAATTTGTAGCTGCCACTTCTGTATAATACCAGTTGCCAGACCTTTGATGTAAGATGTTTAAGTATTGGTGTATGATAAGTACTCGTAATATTTTATCTCTCTTCTAGGTGTATATGAATCAGTTTATAAACCTTCGAAGCATATACTGAGTTTAATTATGTTGCGGCTCTTGAATTGGGGTCTTTGTTTCTGCTTGGAATCAGTTTCTTAATTGTGAACTTTCATGGTAGTTGCATTGCTGACACTTGCTATTTGATCTCAGAGCGGCTTACCTTTGGTTCAAAAGAGGATAAGCGAGTTGGAAGAAGAGGTTGTTCAGCCATATATCTATTATTTTCGTGAATTTTGTTCTCTCTTAATTTTTATTTTTTGTCTTTTGTTTTGTGTCCCAAATTGTGTTCTGCCAAGGCTAAAGATACTTTTTCTTCAGCTCCACTAATCTAAATAACAGGGTTGGCAATGCTAGGTTAAACGTCTATGGGCTGCCTTGAGAACAACCAACTTCGAGCTTCACGTTTTAGAGGATAAAGCTAGAGAAGCTAAGGATAAACTTAAAGCTAAGGCTTTGGAAGTTGAACAGGTGATTATCGGCTTTTGATTTCATCAATTCCTTTAATTTTCTATCCAAAGCAGAAATTGTGAACGGTTCTTTGTAGATCAGAAATTCAGAATCGTCTCTTAGTTCACTCTATAGTAATTTCTACAACATTTGCGACTGATTCTTTCTTACTTTCTCCTCTAAGCTTTGAATGTAACTTAATATGTTGGATCCTTATGCAATCAAACATAAATTGGCATAAAACTTGCTCTTGTTAGATATTTAAGCCTCTAATAATCTATGTAACTTAACTTGTTGTGTGTCGTACCACATCACCTCACCTTTTTTTGGCTTTGTACTTATCTTGTTTTTGTATATCCTTTTCCTGTGGTAGTAAGTGATATCTGTCTACTTCTGATGTATTTTGTATGTGAATGAGTTTTCAGCTTGTTGCTGTCACCAAATGCTTCATGCGCTTGTGGTTCTGACCTACTTTCTTTATCATTTTTAGATGACAGAAGCTGTTACGGAGCAGTGGATTCAGGTCCAGCATCTTGAGCAGGTCTTTAAGCTTTTCGTATAAATTTTTCGTTTAATGCAATCGAGTTTTGTGAGTTGTGACCAATTGGGGTATAGATTCACATCAGTGATGATGGTTTTTTTCTGTTACTGTTGCGTCTTGAAGATGAGAGAATTCAATAACAGAAGGCATCAAACACCTAGCAGATGCACTCTTTTAAAGGTAAAATCCAAATGCAGTGGTTGGACTTACGATGATATGTAATCTGAGGAATAGAAGCTTAAACCATCATTTAATCATATCGTAATAGTCTCTCATTTCTCCTTTGTGTATCTGTTACTTAGCTCATGAGCAACATCAAAAGAAAACATCTGCCCAAAGTTGATGAAGCATTTGACATTCACTGGAAGGGAAAGAAGGTTCTCTCAATGCAACCGTATCTCACACAAACCCTGTCACAGTTAAAAAGCCTCTGGGCAGCTGTTACTAAATACCACCACCAGGTTTTGTTTCAAATAATCACATTTTCACAATCTCCATTATTTAGATCGAATGATTCTGTAACCGCGCTTTGCTTTGATTCTTTATAGTTGCAAGGCTTCATCGAGCATGAGATGGAAAGAACCGAGATCACAGCAGCTCTTGCAAACAGAGAAGTGGTGTTTTTCATGGTATGTCAGTTCATATTTTCAGATCTTAAAATCGTTTAAATCAATATTTGATTTGTCTGATCCTCAATCAAATCTGTAAAATGAAATCTCCAGGCATCTGCACTGATTACTTTTCCGGTGTTTGGAGCATGGATCTTACTCTCTTCCTAGTTTGGTTTCTGGATGACATGATCAACCGATGCATCAGCAATTTTCAGATTGGTTTTACTTCTCATTGCTCAAGAAATTGTCTAGTTTTAAGCTTTGAGATCCGTAGGATCAATTGCATCCGTGAACAAACCGAAAACCGGTAATCTATGGACTATGGTTTAAAGTTTAAACCAGCTATTATGGGGTAAGGTGCACAGTTGTATCCAAGTTAAATTGTTGGAGACTGAATTTTGTTATTGAAAAAAGAGACAGAACCAAAGAGATGCAGACAAAGTCAAGTCCTTGTTCGTTGTTTTACGTTAGATGTTTGTCGCAAGTACTAAGTAGGAGTAGCCTGTTTAGGGTTACAGCTTACACATTCTTCTCTCTGCAAGAAATTCAGAAATTCCTATTGTAGTACAATAGATTGAGATCACTCATTCATTATTATTATCTTGGTTTAATTCATACATTTTCAGCATAATTTTTTTTAACTTGTTTAGTAATTTGATCTTTTTCATTATCTAATAAAACGAGTTGACAAAAAAAAAATTGTTAAGTAAACTAGTTATTATTGTAGCATGGAAAACTACATTTTAGTATGCCTTAAATTACAAAATGTCTCGAGAGAGATTGGTGATGCAATGGTCCTACAAAGCTCGACTACTCCCACCACACGACCTCTCTTTTGTCGGTCCCATTCCGCTAGTCACGCCACAAAATCTCCCCAACACTTTCGAGTCTTTGTCTTTGATTGATCTATTGCATTAACCTTTTTTTTTTCTGGGTCAAACCATTATTAGTAAATCTTCCAATTTGTTTTTTCTTTTACCCTTTTTTTCTTTTTCTTTTTTCATTGTATCCGTCTTTTATTTATTTAAAAGAAGAATACAATACATGCACTTTATTCTTCTCATTTATATTCCTCTCAGCTTTTATTTTGTTAAATCCTTTTAGCTTTTCAAATGGTTGGTATGTCATTAATATGTCTCAACGTCTGAAAACGTGAAAATACCTACTCTCTCTGTCGTTTCAGGTGATTGGACTTTAGACGGGCTGGGTTTGAGTCTAAGGGAATGGGCCGGTAAAGGCCCAATCGGAGTCTGCTGTTGACTTGAGCCCAAGAGATAGAAACGGCAGAGTGAGGGATCGTTTTGGTGCAGAGACAGGATGTGTGTAGTACTGTTTTGTCTCCTAGCACCTGCAGAGAACGGCTTGGCACAGATTAAAAGGAAAGCAGCTTTCAGCTTGGAGGTTAAGCAAGTTTTGTATTCATCTAAGAGAGGGAGTTCTAGAGAGAGTTTGAGAGAGAGAAAACAGGGGTTGAGGGTTTCACTTATCTCTTTGTTCTTCTTGGTAAAAACGTCTAGAGTGGATTCTTGGGTGAGGGTGAGAGACTTGTGAGCTAAGTGTGAGGTTGTAATATCCGGATACTGATCTTAGTGCCTTGAGAGTTGGTTGAGACTCTCCGAGACGTACCATGACTGATTTGGTCATGGGAACTCGTTAAATCCTGCGTCTCCGTTTTCTTTCCTGCAACAAACATCAACAAACTCAAAAGACTGAATCTTTAGCAACCTGAGATGATAACTTGGTAAAGAAACTAACAGTGGTATCAGAGCCAGGTTACCAGAGACTCAGGAAGGTAATAAAGTTTCAATCTTTGAAAGCTTTAAGATATTCTAAAGGTGTTATCTGTTGAATAGAAGAAAGGTACCACCTTTAAGGCTCATTTCTTCACTTTGTTGTGTTTTGTGAGTCTTTGAGGCTATTTCTAGGGTTCTTCAGAGGACTAAAGTAGAAAAGGTGTGAGCTTTGGTGATTTTACCTGAAAAGGTGGGATCTTTGATGTCGGATTCAGAAGGAAAGACGCTGGAACCTACCAAAGGTCGGTTTGAGGTTGATAAGTTTGATGGTGATGGTGACTTTACTCTCTGGAAGCACAGAATGGTTGGTCAGCTGGAGATTCTGGGTTTCAGTGCTCTGCTCAAACCAAAGGAACCTGTTAAAGAGGGAGAGAAGCCAGATCCATTATGGAAAGAGAAAGATCAAAGGGTTAGAAACCTCCTGGGGCATGCTTTGACAGACCCAGTACTGAGGAAGGTGATGACAGAGCCTACTGCATATGATATGTGGAAAGCTCTAGAGAATGAGTACCAAGCACAGACCTTGCCAAATCGCTTTTATTTGAAGCAAAGGTTCTTCAGCTTCAAGATGGAGGAGGATCAGAGTCTAGACAAGAATCTGGACAACTTTAACAAACTGGTGTTAGATCTCTCTAGTGTGAATGCTGAAATGAGAGAAGAAGACAAGGCTGCAGTACTCATGAACAGCTTACCTAAAAAGTATGATCACCTGGTTCATACTCTGAAGTACAGCAGTACCAAAGATACCATCACCACCAAGGAGATAATCAGATCTGCTTACTCTATTGAACTGGAGCTCAAGCAGAAGGGACTGATATCAGTAAAACCTGCTGATGAGGGGCTGCTGGTACTGGCAAGAGGAAGATCAGAGAAGAGGGGTCAGTCAAAGGGCAAATCCAGCAGAAGCAAATCTAAACCAAAGAAGAAGAGAGCTTGTTGGATTTGTGGAAGTGAAGAACACTTAAAGAAGGATTGTCCAAAGAAATTTCAACCTAGTAGCAGTCAGAAAGGAGAAGCCAGTCTTGCTCATGACCTGAAAGCAGAACCACTGATGTTGACAGCATCTCAGGTTGGTCCAAGAGAAGGGTGGATACTGGATTCAGGCTGCTCTTACCACATGACAAAGAGAAAAGATCTAATGTTTGATGTGGAAGAGATAAAGGGTGGAAGAATGTTGATGGGAAATGACACTGCCTGTGAGATCACTGCAATTGGAAAAATCAAAATTGTTAACTATGATGGAAGTGAAGTCATTTTATCCAAGGTAAGGTATTCACCAACTGCTAGGAGAAATCTCATATCTTTGGGACAATTGGAGACACTTGGATGTTGGTATAAGTCAAAGGACTACAGACTTCGAGTGTTTAAAGGAGACAGAGAAGTGATTGCAGGCGACTACAAAGATACTCTGTACCTCCTTGATGGGGAAGCTGCACCTGCACAGGTCAATGTGACAGTGAGCATTCCTGATATCACTCAGATATGGCACAGCAGACTAGGCCACATGAGTGCTAAGAACCTGAAAATCATGGTTCAGAAGAAGTTACTTAATGGGGATGGCATTTCAGAGTTGAAAATGTGTGAACACTGCATATATGGGAAATCTCATAAAACCCCATTCAAGACAGGAAAACATACCTCTCAGGAAGTTCTAGAGTATGTTCATTCAGATCTTTGGGGTTCTCCAAATGTGACTTTGAGCCTGAGTAAATGTCAATACTACATCTCCTTTGTAGATGACTTCTCTAGAAAGGTCTGGATTTACTTCTTAAAGACAAAAGATGAAGCCTTTGCAAAGTTTGCTGAATGGCTTGCATTAGTTGAAAATCAGAGTGGGAAGAAGCTGAAAATTCTAAGAACAGACAATGGATTAGAATACTGCAATAAAACCTTTGATGACTATTGCAAAGAAAGGGGGATTATGAGGCACAGGACCTGTCCTTATACTCCGCAGCAAAATGGAGTTGCAGAGAGGCTGAATAGGACCATTCTTGAGAAAGTAAGAAGCTTGCTGAGTTAAACTGGTTTGGGAGAAAGATTCTGGGCAGAAGCTTCATCTACTGTTGTGTATATCATAAACAGGACTCCATCAGCTCCGTTGGACTTCAAGGTACCTGAACAAGTTTACACAGGAAGAGAACCTGAGTACAGTCACATGAGAAGGTTTGGTTGCCTTGCATACTATCATGTTGAGCAGGGTAAACTTAAACCAAGAGCAAAGAAGGGAGTGTTTATGGGGTATCCACAAGGAGTTAAGGGTTACAGAATTTGGAGTATTGAGGATAAGAAATGCATTGTGAGCCGTGATGTAACATTCAGTGAAGACATTCTATACAGAGATATAGAGAAAATGTCTGAAACAGAGAAAGAGGTATCTAAGAAGAAGGGAAAGAGAGTAACCTTTGAGCTGCAAACAGAGGTTACAGAAGCTCCAGATGGAGCCACATTAGAAGGAGGAGAATCTTCTGGGGAATCTCCTCAAGAACAGCAAATTCCATCAGTGGTAACTGAAGATGGAGCCACTGAAGATGGAGCCATGGTAGATCCTGAAATAATAGAAGAAGAAGAAGATACATCAGAGGATGCATCTGGACAGGATCTTGACACTTATCTGCTAGCAAGAGACAGAAACAGGAGACAAAACATCAGACCTCCTAGCAGATATGATCATGGTAATGTGGCTATCTATGCTCTGGTAATGTCTCATATCATTGATCTTGATGAGCCTGAAAGTTTTCATGAAGCAATGAACTGCAAGGAAAGAGATAAATGGATATTAGCATCAGATGAAGAGATGGAGTCACTTCTAAAAAATCATACATGGATCCTGGTGGATAGGCCAAAAGACAGAAAAGTAATTGGTTGTAAATGGGTCTTCAAGTTGAAACAAGGTTTAACAGATGGTGAGGATCCTAGATACAAGGCTAGACTGGTTGCAAAGGGTTTCTCTCAGATAGAAGGGATTGACTATCATGAGGTGTTTGCTCCTGTAGTTAAACACATAACTATTAGGTTGGTACTCTCTATGGTGGTTTATCAAGACATGGAGTTAGAACAGCTAGATGTGAAGACAGCTTTTCTACATGGTGATCTAGAAGAAGAAATCTACATGGAACAGCCAGAAGGTTTTGTAAAAGGAGACAAGGTATGTTTGCTAAAGAAATCTCTATACGGGTTGAAACAAGCTCCTAGACAATGGAACAGGAGGTTCAATCAGTTCATGAAATCTCAGAAATACACAAGAAGCAGCTATGATCCCTGCGTGTATTTCAAATGCCTAAGTGAAGGAGACTACATCTACCTACTCTTGTATGTGGATGACATGCTGATTGCAGCTAAGGTTAAGGAAGAGATTGCTAAGTTGAAAAAGGTTCTGGGAGATGAATTTGATATGAAGGACATGGGAAAGGCTAGCAGGATTCTGGGAATTGACATTACTCGAGACAGGGAAAAGGGTATATTGCAGTTGTCTCAGCAAAGGTATCTGGAGAAAGTGATCAGGAACTTTAACATGCTGGAAAGTAAAGCAGTGATGACACCTATGGGTTCTCATTTCAAACTATCTAGCACCAAACCAGAAGACAAAGCTGAAGCAGAGGCTGAAATGGAGAACATACCTTATGCAAGTGCTGTGGGGAGTTTGATGTACTCCATGGTTGGAACAAGACCAGATATAGCATATGCAATTGGCTTGGTGAGTCGGTTCATGAGCTGTCCCAACAGAGAGCATTGGTCTGCAGTGAAATGGATACTTAGATACATCAGAGGCACAGCAGATTATAAGCTAACATTCACAAAGTCTAAGGATTTCAGAGTAAGAGGCTATTGTGATAGTGATCATTCAGCAGATCTGGATAGAAGCAGATCAATTACCGGGTATGTGTTTCAAGTAGGTGAGAACACGGTAAGCTGGAGATCTGGGCTTCAACAGGTTGTAGCTCTGTCCACAACGGAAGCAGAGTACATGGCGTTGTCTGAGGCAGCAAAGGAAGCGCTGTGGCTGTCGCGAATCGCAGAAGAGCTTGGTTATCCGCAACATGCAACAGAGATCTTCTGCGACTCCCAAAGCGCAATCTGTTTGGCAAAGAACAATGTTCATCATGAGCGTACGAAACACATCAGGAGGCGATTTCATTTTATCAGAGATGAGATCGAGGAAGGAACTCTAAAAGTCATCAAGATAAACACCAAAGAGAATCCGGCTGATATACTCACAAAATCAGTACCTGTGAAGAAATTTGATGATGCGTTGAGTGACTTGAAGGTGCTTCGGCACCACCACTAGTCCGGTGAAGGGGCTAGGTCTCCGGCGAGGTTAATCGTCGGGGAAATTGACTGGAGAGGGTAAACTCTTCGGTTGTGTCGTCTAAAGGCAATCAAGATGGAGATTGTCGTTTCAGGTGATTGGACTTTAGACGGGCTGGGTTTGAGTCTAAGGGAATGGGCCGGTAAAGGCCCAATCGGAGTCTGCTGTTGACTTGAGCCCAAGAGATAGAAACGGCAGAGTGAGGGATCGTTTTGGTGCAGAGACAGGATGTGTGTAGTACTGTTTTGTCTCCTAGCACCTGCAGAGAACGGCTTGGCACAGATTAAAAGGAAAGCAGCTTTCAGCTTGGAGGTTAAGCAAGTTTTGTATTCATCTAAGAGAGGGAGTTCTAGAGAGAGTTTGAGAGAGAGAAAACAGGGGTTGAGGGTTTCACTTATCTCTTTGTTCTTCTTGGTAAAAACGTCTAGAGTGGATTCTTGGGTGAGGGTGAGAGACTTGTGAGCTAAGTGTGAGGTTGTAATATCCGGATACTGATCTTAGTGCCTTGAGAGTTGGTTGAGACTCTCCGAGACGTACCATGACTGATTTGGTCATGGGAACTCGTTAAATCCTGCGTCTCCGTTTTCTTTCCTGCAACAAACATCAACAAACTCAAAAGACTGAATCTTTAGCAACCTGAGATGATAACTTGGTAAAGAAACTAACACTCTCATACTCATCCCCGCAAATTACTCAATGTTGCTTGACATTATAATTTAATTGTAACATCTAGCTCTCTTTTTTCCTTTTCTGTTGACAATTTATTTGTTTACTTTTTCTATAAATCCTAGTATTATGTTCATATATGTTATCTACTACATTGTCGAGAAACAAAATTTGTTAATTTATACATTTTTAAGTGCTGTTCTTCAGTGCCGTCTCAATCTTTGGGAGGACCCTTGGCAAAACTAAAAAAAAATTAAATTCTCTTACAAAACAAAAAAATTCTAAAAATTGGGCCCTTTTTTTTCAATAATTTTTGAAAAAAAGTTTTGGACCCATGGCAAATGCCTATGTTGCCATGGGTGAGAGACGGCCCTGCTGTTCTTAGAAGTTTAGACGTGTATCTCTTTATGATTGAAAAAACAAAAATAAGGAAATATAGAGTCAAAAAAATTAATCACTCACTATAGAGACTAGAGTCACATGATATGTGTATTGGTGTCTCCATAGTGATCAGTGGGATTGGGGCAATTCCCACTAACCCTCCCTCAATCCTCGCATTATTACTCGCCTCTCAATTTCTCCCTCTTTGTTTTATTTTTAATATCCTATTTTCTTTCTCCTTTTTGGACAAAGTGAAACCACACCACAGAGGAAGGACGACAAAGTTTTAGTTTGCTTTATAAAAAAACAAAAATATTTGCAAAACTATGCAATATAATATTTCGATGGTTCATGTTTTGATGGCTCATTCGCCCTGATTTCTTCTTGTGTTGAGTACTTAAGTTATTAAGACAGTAAAAAACAAAATACACGGTTTTTTCCAACAAAAAAAAAAGACAGTAAAAACATGTATGTGCATATGCACTAACTAACCTTACATTTTTTCACTAATTACGTCAATGATCTTATTCATTTTAAAATTAAAAACCTAATACTTGATTGTAAATTCATCCTCAAATTATTTTTAAAAAGTAGAGTGTAACTTGAACAAATAATTTTTTTTTTAATAACATGTTATTTTATTCAATATCACGCCGTTTATCAGAAAACACACAACTATCTACATCTATTCATTGATAACACGGTATTCTTACCAAATATTACGTATTCATAACTATAATGTCCCTTGTATATAGATATGTTAACTTGTGACTACTGAGTGGGTTAATTTGTAATACATGTATTTCATTTCTTCGAAATTTATAGCTCTGACATTTAATTACATAGCAGTTTATGTCCATTTGACACTTCTACGACTAATTAAATTGAAACAACTTTCTATCGTTCCGATGATACAACAATTACAAAACTCAAGTCTAATAAACTACTGTTTTATTTATTTACCGAAGAATTGTTTTGTAAAGTTCTTATTATTAGAATTCGAAAAATGAAAATGGGGGGGATCACTACATATCTACAATTTCTCTTTTTCGGATGATGGTGATTTTTTTTAAGGAAAAAAATACCCTTTTAAACATTTTTTCGCATGTTTAGAAATATGCTAAAACTATAAATAAATTAATAAATAGAAATGCCTATTCAAACTATTTTTAAAAAATCAGATATCAATGTTGATCGGACCAAACGCCCCAAAATCTATTATTCTTGTTTGCTCGTATTATAAAGCAAGAATGATTACGGGTAGTACATGATGATAAAAATTACTGAATTTACTGGTGCATTTCAAATCAGCTTTTATATAAGTGTGGATTTGTCTGACCATCCGAAATAATCAAATGCTATAAGTTTGCTTGAAGATCGGGAAAGTTGGAGACATAACTATAAAGTGATTTTTACATAAGAAAAGCATCTCGAGGCTATTCAATGATCAACACGACACTATTATGTCGATTTTTTAAGGGGGGAAATTAGGAAGAATAATGTTTATAAACAACACAAAAAATTTCATGCTTCTCCATGTTTTCATCGAAATACTAACAAAAACATATTCTTTTAATATTTAGGACTATAATTAAGATATTTAAAATGTTCTTAGTAATGACCTTGTGGATTGGCCTAGTGCAATTTGAGATAAGATAATAAATTTAGACAGTAAGGATCAGTTTGCATCTTATGCCAAGAAAATTTGCTATTATACCGATTATCATATCATTTTTTATATAGTTATAAATTTTTGAGTCTGATGCATAACAAATTTCTTATGGTGTATAATTCATTTATTCATTATATAAATTGCAGTAAGTTATAAATTTGGACTCCTGATTTTTGGTTGAAATACTATTATGTAAAATTTCAAGTGAAAAATATGAATTAGTGGATTGATTCATGTTTTGATTAACTCTCACTTTATATGTGTGGCTCTTAAACAATCATATTGGCGGTGCAGTTAGGAGTTTTTAACAACTATTATGAGAAATCGGTATGATAAGAGATAGGATTAACAAAAATGCTAACATTTTGCAATTTAAATAAAAACTAAATAAGTAAATTTATATTTCTTGAAAATATGTAGCTTCCAACTAATGCTACCAATATGAAAACTTTTATGATATGACTTGAATTTTGGTTCAACTCCTAAGCTGCTAAGCAACAATGACAGTATGATATGGATGAATGGAAAAAAAAAAAACAAAAGCCTCTCTATCTATTCCTTGTCCATATTTGTTTTCAACAAGACTACTAAAATACGATCCATGTTCTCATCTCAACTAAACTAGTCGATAAATGTAATTTGGTAAAGTTAACAAACCAAAAGAATGGTTAATAACCTTTTTCTGATAAACTAATCTTATAGGCAAGAAAGCTGAGCTACCTCTTTGAAAAATCATCTCATCCTAATGGACCCACCATCAACCATTATCACCTATCCAGTCCCAGTTTCCACCTAACGACTTCAAATTAAAACACATAAAAAAAAGTCCACAGTTTCTAAAGAAAAAAAGGTAAAAGAAGAAAGAAAAAAGAAGCCACAGAGCTTAGAATCTTTCAATATATATAAGCTCACACTAGCTCTCAATAAACCCACAATATCTAATTGTCCCTTCTCTTCTCTCTATCACACTACTTCACACATCATGGCTCTCTCCATTAGAACCTCCCTCTTCTTCTTCTTCACTACACTTGTTCTTCTCTCCACTCAAATCCATGCAAGAGACAGCTACTTCTTTGGAAAATTCCATAGAGAATCCACCAAAGATCAAAACCCTAACAGTTTCATCCCCCTTGAGACTAGCGAGAAAACCACCGTAGAAGAATCCGTCCCCAACAAGAAAGAGCAAGAACAAGATCCTACCTTTGTCCCCGAGTCTGAAAACGGCTATGGCTTGTATGGTCACGAGACCACCTACAACAACAACAAAGAAGAGTTCAACAACAACAACAAGAACGATGAAAAAGTCAACAGCAAGACTTTCTCCACTCCAAGCCTGAGCGAGACCGAGGAGTCTTTCAACAACTACGACGAAAAGTACCCGACGAAAACAGAGAGCTACGGCACTAACGGTTACAACAATGAAGAGTTCAATAACAACAACAACAAGTACGATGCAAACTTCAAGGAAGAGTTCAACAACAACAAGTACGATGAGAATTACGCCAAGGAAGAGTTCAACAACAACAACAACTACAAGTACGATGAAAACGTCAAGGAGGAGTCTTTCCCCGAGAACAATGAAGACAACAAGAGAAACGTTTACAACTCTAACGCTTACGGGACAGAGCTAGAACGTGAAACACCGTACAAAGGTTACAGCCACAACTTGGAGAGACAAGGCATGAGTGACACAAGGTTCATGGAGAAAGGTAGTTACTACTACGACCTTTACAACGACAGAAACCACGGCCATTACTACCGAAAGTCTCACAGCAAAAGCCCCGCTGGTTATTATTCTTCTCCCGCGACCGAGACTAACTACGACCAGCAATCGTATTCGTACGGAAACAACAACAACAACAATGAGGAGAATAGTTTTAAGGATCCGTACAACTCTAAATGGGAGAAGAACTTGATGAACGAAAAGCCTGAAGAGTTTGTTGAGGAGCAAGGCACTAATCAGTTCAAGCCTTGATGAAGATTGTTATTTGATTTCCTCTCAAGACTACTACACTCTTAAAAGCACTTTCTTTCTTTATTTCAACTAAGTTATATTACTTATTGTTTAGTCAAACTATATCGTTGTTATCATTGCAACAAATTAAAAGTGAAAACAAAAACAAAAAAGAGAAAGGGGTTTGTGTGTTTTTAGTTGAGGTGGGTTTGCTTTTTTATGGGTTTTTGAACTTTGATGTTTGCATTTGCATATATTATTCGGTGAAAAGAAAGATAGTTTATATATATGGTGCTACTTTATGTTATTATTCTCTTATGTTAAATTAATCACTTTTTGGTTAATTTGTTAAAAAAAAAATTAGATAAAGACTGTATGGATCTCCATTATTATAAATGGGACCAAACGTGACTGCTTATAATGATTTATAATGGGGGACATGAAGATGCCTCTTCCTCCTTGCGTAAGTGCAAAAGAGAAAGTAATAATTACTTGCACACCAAATATTTAATTTTATGGATCTAGAAAACATATACTCTCCATTGGATTAATAAATCGAAATATTGTCTATGCCACAACAATCTTCTCAAAGATGTGCCTGAATGTTAGCTATAATCTCAGCCTTGAGATAGATACATTTTAAGCCTTTGTTATCGCGTTTCTTGCTTTCTTGGCATCAATAGTTTATAGAAAAATACTAGTATATAGTCCTTAAGTATGAAAAAAAAACTTTAATTATACAATAAGAATTTAGTTTAATGGTGCCACCATTATGGTGGTAATATGGGTGGAAAAGACTAACAGAAACGCCGGGACAAGTAAAAGACAACGACACTTCCAAGGCACTTTTTAGCAATAAGAATCCAACTCTCGAGTCTTTTACGAGGAAAAGAAGAGTCCCCATTCCGTTAATCACGGCCAACATAAAGGACAAATTGAAAACCTCTTTTTCCTTTTCTGGATTTGTTTACCTTTTCTAAAAATATTTTAGAATTATTAAATGAATATTAGTATATTACCACCATCCTGATAATATATTTATGTTATATATATATATATATATATTTTGTGTTTTTGGTGTGTTAAAATCATGAAATCAAATGCTAAAACAACAGTGTGTATATGTTTTCCGTTTGTGATTTAAGATTGTTATTATAGTTTTTTTTAGAGCTAATATTTTCTTAATTGAAATAGACTTAAAGGACATCTCAATTTTTTTAGAAAAAAAAACATTTGTGTTCAGATTCAAATTGTTGTCGTCCTATTGATTCCGCTATTTTATACTAATTCAGTTATTCCACTATTCAGCTGTTAATCTGACATATCAGTGTCAATCCCTACGTATCCGAGATATAATCCTATAAGATACTCTTAAAAATCAATTTTTGTTAATATTTCTCACCTAACATCAAAGATTGAGTTTCCAACATGCAAATATGTTCCATACCAAAAATATGATATGAGGCCTTACATAATCCATTTAATCCATTGGCTGATTGCCTTGAACTTATATAGATCGGACAGCATATATTTGAGTATCATTCTTACATATATAGCGCATGATTAACTAAACTCGATGGCTAGCTCTCTTAAGGAAATCACTAAAACAATTTTTACAATATTTATAACTTTCTACATTACAAGGGTACATTTTGATTCAAACTGAATTTGTATATTTTACCATTGTACTGTAGTAGGAAACAATCTAATAGTAGTATAAAATAAAAGGACATCCAATAGTTTTGTAACCGTATACACTAATTAATTTTTTCTATATCTTTAACTATCTTTTTAGTTTTTAGTAAAGTTTTTACTAATTTAGATCTAAAATTCATCCATCCATGTTATTATTACCTGAGCATATTTTTGTCATTTGCCGGTAAAACGGTAAAACAATTAATGTAAAAAAAACTAGAAATTACGGATAGACACGTGTCCCTTATCCGCAGCAAGCAACAGTTTCACCAAGCTTCCTGTACGTGCAGCTGCACCAGATCCCTCCCTTACTCTGAACCCTACGCAAAACCCTAAACTCTCTCCTCTCCAGAAATCCCAAAAAAAAAAAAGGCCAAATCGAAAGATCCTAAACGTCCAATGTCCGCCGCAAGGTCCATCTTCCGCTCCGCCGCAAGCCGAGCATCGGCCGCCGCGTCTAGATTCTCCACCGGACCCAAGCCTATGCCTTCATCTGCACGGTCCGCGTTTCGGATGCCTAAACAGAGCCCTCTTTCAAATCGCATTTTCAGGTAAATCTTCTAAACACTGATTTGGTCTCTTAGTTCGTTCTATTCTTCATTCTGAAATTGTTTTGGTTTGCGAATGAAATGAAAGATCTCCGGTAGAACTAAGCTGTTGCGTGGAGACGATGCTCCCGTACCATACTGCCACTGCTTCCGCTTTGCTCAATTCGATGCTCTCTGTTTCACGCCGTGGTTGGATCGTTGATGGTACTTTACTCTCTTCTCATTGCTATTCTCCATTGTTTAATTTCTTGATGATAGAGTGTATACATGCTTAGTTTTCTACTAATTGAAATGCACAAACAAAAATGCTTAAAGACAAATGTGTTTCATTTTCGATAGGTCTTATGATGGAACTTAATTGAATTGAGACCAAGTTTGATTTGATTTGAGTGTTTAGTCTAGTGTTTCGTGTGAATGTTTTAGTGGAGAGCTTGCTGAGAATAAACCTCTTTGTTGAAGATGTAAATCATAGTGATGATTATTGATTAGACAATATCTGCATTCTTCAGTTTGTTGTATCATAGTGGTAATGATTCAGTGTCATATGTTGGTACTTATTTATCCATCATATGCTTGTGGATCTCCCCATATTCCGTCTGTTGTTGTGGGATAGGTTTAGAGTTGCTTTGTTCATTCTAAACTTCTCTGGCATCTCGCGGTTTTCTTTATGTGTGCATTTTTTATTAGGAGGTAGCTCTATTAGGCTTTTTCTTTCTTGAACACAAATTTTGTGGATCCTGACTTTTGAGTTTTTGCGTGCAATTGTGTTATTTTACTTTCGTTATGTCTGGATTTGTCCCAGTATTAAAATTCTTAGATATATGCACTTAAGATCTTGTTGTTTTTTTGAACAGAAGTCATTTTTTACAGATCTTTTTGGAATCTAATGTTTCACTAGAATACTCCGCCTTTAAATAGTTGGATAGTCAAGGAAAAACAATCAATTTTTACATACCTTTACCCAATTAATCCAATTTTGAATTCATTGAGAAAAAAATCAATTTTTTTTGCTTTGTAGGGCTAGACGAGACTAGATGAAGATCCATCAACAAGAGTGATGTGAGTCAATCAATTTATCTTCTGTTCTTGGAGTTGTGTCGTTTCCTAGAAAGATGGGTCATTTTGTGGTTGATTCTCTGTGATAGTGTTCTTTGTAAATGCAGTCGAATATGCTTGAAATATTGACATGCTGTTATATTTTCTGAATCTCTTGGACTAGAACACTTGTCATCAGCATAAGAATCACACTGATACAAAATTGTATTCACTCAGATTGCAATGATGATGTATGATGAATTACTGGGGAGAGGTCAGCGATGCATGCAGTCTAAGACAAGGTGGTGGTGAAATGAAATTTTTTTCTTGGGTTCCTTGAACTTGATCTTAGGGCAGTTTGTAGAAAGAAACCATTAGAAGTGATAATAATCGAGTTGTGTCTCTGAGGCATTTTTTTTTTGTTTTACCTCGAAAAATTGAGTCGCAAATTTCTAATGGAGTGCATGTATCGTTTGTTTTCTGGTGTTGTAGATGGATGACTCTTGTTCTCACCATTGCAGTCAGCAGGAAGATTTTCTTAAGAGTTCTAAAACCCTTTTTGTTGATTCTTAAACCCCGTCTGCAAATGTTTTTACTATTTTACTTTATAAATATCCAAGTGAATTTGTTGACTCAGTTTTCATGGGTTCTAACATCTTATCGTCTTCTAATGTTTTTACTATTACATTTTCTTTTTGTATGCATATGGAACTATTTCTCTTAAAATTGAAGGGAGATCATGTTACAAAATGGAATAAACCAAGCGGCTAGATTTTGACTTAACTTGATTTTCATATTACTATTTATGTATCTAAATCGGAGACCAGAAATATGGTTTGAAGACGAAGAAATAATACCACAACGGAGCCAGAAGTCAAAGCCTAAAACATCACACGTGACGAGCGTAGTAGTCCACACGACTGTAGCAACTGCTGAATTTAGTAACCAATTTGATTCCTTGATTTCAGTGACTCGGGAACGACTCATAAATTTGTAAATATAAAAATCATGTTCTATTGATTTTCCAAATGGGAAGAAGCAAGATCTCCGTATATGACAGTTTCGATGATCCACTTTTTGTGGGAGTAAATGTGTGCAAATATTTATATTGGATTATAACAACAATACACGAATAAAAAACTTTGAATTTCCCATTATCATCCTTATTCCCGCTTGGTCTCATCCCAAAGACTCGAAGTGGCTCTAGATTCTACACTGAAGACCAAATACATTTTCGTATGAGACAAAATATAGATTATGGTCCCAGATGAAATTATGATCATCTCTAACTACAGTATACTAGCAATGCTTGGGCCAATGATATGTTAATTTGTGCTTATTGTACATGTTAAAAGATATCTTATGTATCTGTGTCTTAGCTTAAAAGTTAAAATATGGTACTATTTTGTTGTAAGTTTTGTATAGTCATACTCGCAGATTTTGCATATGCCCGAAAATTCGAATTTGTTACGTTTTTTTTCCTTTCAATCAGCCACCAATATATCCGGCGATGAATCTTTCTATCAATACCAATAATTGATACATGCAAAATCTTAATTTCTAAAAGTGTATCATTATAACAAATCAACAATACATTGAGGAGGAAATAATTTAAGAAAATCATCAAACTAATGATTACACACACTCACTCATGTCTCATGCACAGATACAGATACGTAAAAATGTTAATTGCAAATTAAATAATTGAGCAACTTTGAAATTAAAGCAACTTTGATATTTGTTTTCACACCATACCTTTCTCTTGCTTTCTTGCACCAAAGCTGTTCAACAGTAACCTCACCCTTCTTCTTCTTCTTCTTCAAAAACTTCAATCATGCTCCATTCTTATTCTTCTCCTTCTCTCTCTAAATCTCTCCAATGGGTTATCTCTCTTGCAACGGCGAATCCGCCGTTGCAATCTGCGATCCTTATAACTGGGATCCTCGTCGAAAACCAAAACCGGAGAAACGTCGTCCTCCTAAGCTTCGGATTTTCAACTACGATGAACTCGCGGTCGCTACAAACGGCTTCTCCGCCGGAAACTTCCTCGGTAAAGGAAGCCACGGAAGAGTTTACAAAGCGGTTCTCGACGACGGGAAACTTCTCGCCGCCGTCAAGAGAACTACAATCACCACCGGTGGTAATTATAATAATAACGTGAGTCAAGTAGACAACGAGATCGAGATTCTTTCAAGAGTTCGTCACCGTTGGATGGTCAACTTAATCGGTTACTGCGTTGACCACCGGAGGAAGACGAAGCTGTTAGTCGTCGAGTACATGCCTAACGGTACACTTCACGATCAGTTACATTCTCGTAGTTCGTTACCGGTTAGTTGGAATCGGAGAATCAAACACGCGCTTCAGATCGCGATTGCTGTCCACGCTCTTCACACCGCGGAGACTCCGGTGATCCACCGTGATATTAAGTCGTCTAACATTCTTATCGACGGTGACGGTAACGCTAGATTAGCTGATTTCGGATTAGCGTTGATCGGACACGTTGACGATGAGCGTTTGAAATGTACTCCGCCGGCGGGAACGTTGGGGTACTTAGATCCGTCGTATTTAGCACCGGCGGATTTGACGGCTAAGAGCGATGTTTTCAGCTTTGGGATATTGTTGTTGGAGATTATTAGTGGTAGAGAAGCCATTGATTTGAATTATAGTCCGTCGTGTATGGTAGATTGGGCGGTGCCGTTAATCAAGCGCGGCGAATTCGTCGCGATTTGTGATTTGAAGATTAAGAACCGTCCTTATTCCGCCGTGATTCGGAAACTGGCGGTTATGGCGGCGAGGTGTGTGAGATCGACGGCGAAGAAACGTCCTGATATGTTAGAGGTTGTTGAGTGTTTGAAAACGGTGAGGAAGTTATCACAGGCATCTCCGGCGTGGAATAGACTGCGGCGGAGGAGTGAAGAGGGATCGGAAAATGTTTTCGCGGTTGAGGAAGAAAAGGAAGAGATTCATGTGAGGATTGTGAGAGGAGGAAGTAGGAGGAACCGGAAGGTAGCGAATGTGACGTGTGTTGATGATGTATACGAGAGAATAGTTCCGGAGGAGACGTCTCTTTCTCCGCCGCCGCCGTTTCGTCGTCGGAATTTTGTGCTGAGGTCGAGATCAGTGGGAGCGAAAGTTGGACCGGATCCAAACGACGACGTTGGAGATAAGATGGTGGATACAATCAGACTTCTTATCGAGATAGAAAGACCGGTGATAACAACGACGGCGGCGATGAGGCTGAGCAAGTCGAGGTCGGTGGGGATTGTACGTAGTTACAAAACGGCGTCGCGGAAGAGATATTGAGTGTTTTACAAAAGTCAGCAATTTGCCAGGCAATTTGTTTGACCGTTGCCTGATTTGTTTTCCACTTTTTTCTTTCTATTTTTGTTTTTCTCTGTCTCATTTGTTTGTCTTTTTTTATTGAGCTGATATTTTGGGGGTTTTTTTCTTTTTTTTTTTGTATTGAATAAAAATTGTGTTTGCTACGAATTTTTCAAAGTGATTACTGAAAAAGTTTTTAAAAAGTCAGAAAGGGAAATGCAATAGACTACTTGAACATTATAAAGTTGCATAGAAAATTGAGAGTTGAATGTTAAATATTCATTCACATTTAATCGAATCTTTCTTTAAAACTAGGTTTTGTCAAAGATGAAGTTGGTCTTTAACTAAATTTTTTATGAATCTTTTTGGTCCAGCTTTGCTCCTCTCTCGCATTGAAGAGGCAGACATGTTTGAGTTCATAGTTTCTGAAGCTATTGTTATCGAAGAAGATCTGAATCAACAAGGAACGATGATACTTTTGTAATTCAGTGAAGTTTCTAAAGGAGAACAAAAACGAAGCCCGTTCAGTTTCACTCAAATATGTTCTACACGAATACATATACTATATGTAAAATTCAACAAATATCATATACATCGAAACATTTACATCAACAGATAAATAAATTTGTTCAAAACCCAAAAACACCTGATTAAAGCTAATCACAAACTGAAACCTGCAAAAAGCCAACACACACACTACACTTGTGTTCCCCACATAGACACCTCTCCCTGTCCTTTTGGAACTCAATGAATGAATCACTCAGACCAGCGAGTCTTCCGATATGACAGTAAGCAGAGAGTATTTAGCTTTGATTGAGATCTTCCCTGCCTCAACACAAAGTTTAGCCCCAGTCACAACCCAATATCCAGGTTGTTCCTCTGGACCTCTCATCACCTCCTTCGTGTCTACAAGACTCAGCAGCTTTGGTTTCACAGGCGGCGATGGCCCTCTAGGATACACCGCAGAGTTTATATCAATCTTAGACTGTGGCTTCGTTGTTGCCGGGTTTGGACTTAAACCCGTGCTTAATCTTGTACTAATCATCGAGAAAACACCCGATTTGCGCGAGTTTGTTGAAAGATTATCCCAGCATGATTTACGTGTAACAGCTGAAGCAGCGAGTGAGAAATCGAGCCTCAAGAAGAGAACTTTCCTCATCCCCATTCCTTTGACTTCTAACCAGGCTTTAGTTACAATAGAGGCGGTGTCATCAGACCGCGCTCCGTGGTACTGAACTGGGAAGGTGCAAACATGTGAGAATATTCCCCATTTCACAGGTACATAATACCCTTTTTCAGCTGGTTCATCGATGGGTTCATAGGTTTTATCGTGTGAGAGATGGAGACTTGGAGGACATGCAGAGAGGTGCTGCAAATGTATTGCTAGATGATTTCCTTTCTTCCCCTCAAGGAAGAAGCGTAGTCCGGTTACTGGTCGCTCACCTGAATCAACCTACACAACAGTTTTCAAAAATTGAAAATTTCATTTGAGCAAAGGTATATCACATACAACAACGTGAAAAACAAGTGTACCTTTGATGTGTTGACGTATAGTTTTGGACCCATCAAAGAGAACTGAAGGGATGGAGAACTTTGTTTTGAGCGGCGTAGTCCAAGAGGGAGATCTCCATACACCGGAGCCCATTGGCGTGGAAGTTGAAACTCAAGAAATTGATGCAACTCTTCTATCGGTGGCTTATCTACAACATTTTAAACAACCTTGTTACCTGAATGAACCGTTGAATAGCTAAGATACAAAAGCAAAAAAAAAGAACAAAATACTCACATCGGAGGTATAAGTTCACTGCATGACTAAGAAATCCTGTTCCTGGGAGACCGCTCAAGAGTGAAGTTATAGGAACAAAACACATGGATATGACGTTGGGTGATTGTGATACTGTTGAGAGCCATCGTTCATGACTTTGCCCCAGATCAACACCTCCTCTTCTGATACAAACTCTCACAATCTCCTGGAGATGCAAAATACACATTTTTTAAGCTTAGAAAGAAACCTATATGACTCAAACACTGCATCAATGCTAAGAAATAGCGGACCTCGTTCTTGGTGTGCGTGACAACAGCAGAGCTAACCGAGGTACCAAACGGTTGAAGTCCCCATTGATGAAGATTCTCCTCCTGCAGAACCATTAAACCATGTCAAATTGCATTGTGATTAAAATACAGCGAGACTGATAGCTAGACCCGGACAACTAGACTCTTCTTTACCTTTGGCTTCCCGGAATAAACAGAAGCAGGAGATTTACTTTCAACAGGATCAACACAAAATCTTTCGTCACCCCAATGCTTCAACATTTTCTGAATTTCATCAGGTTCGTGATTCGATTTACGCATCTGCTTCACATGAATAACATCTTTACCTCCCATAGTCACTCCAACAACTACATGAGTACCATATTTCTCAATAAACCTATAAAAAAACAAAACTCAAATCATAAGCTCCAAATCACACTTATCAAAAATCTTAGTGATCATCATCAAATCATACCCAGCAAGTGCAGCAGAGTCCCAAGAAGAAGGAACCTCACGTTTCACTTCATCACGTAGAGTCAATTGCTTCCTAACAAGCTCAACACTATACAAGCTAATAAACCAACCATCATAAGCTAAATTCTTCACAGAGCTCGCATCTTTAGGCCAACATTTACTAAACGCAAACATATTATTAAACATCCCCGACGGAATCTTCCCGGAGAGACACATATCTTGATTAAACTTCTCCGACATCTACACAAAAAAATCAAACTCAAAATTAGGGTTTATACAAACAGGAACACGAATCAGTGATGATTAGACTATACTAAACCTGATTAAAAGAGAGTATATCGGAGCGTAATCGAGTACGTTCGCCTTTATCGCACTTAATCGAGCTCGAGACGTTATTAACGACGATCCCACCGGGGAAGACTAAGTCACGGTTCCGGGTCGGGTCGATTTCTACTAACCTAGAACCGTCTGGTGTAGTTTTACAAGCGGAGAAACGAACATCGGAGCAGAGATCGTAACCTAATCCGATCACTGAGACGGCTTTCTCGGCGGCGGATTGAGCATCGAGGCGTGTGAAATTGTTAAAGGCCATGGATCCGAGAGAGAGATGATGATGGTGATGAAAGAAAGAGAAGAGGAAAATTCAAAAGATTGTGGCTTTGTGTGGTGAAGAAGAAGAAGAAGACGAGCGCGAAGCCATTGAAGTAGTCAACGGTGTATGGCTCAAATAGAAATAATTTAGGAAAGAACATTTAGTCAACACGTAATTACTTTGACTTTATGGCTTTAATGCTTCCGGAATTATAGTGTGAATATGAATTATTTTATTGTGACAAAGGAATAATAATATTTTTAGTACCTAATTTAATGTTGATTTTGCAGCAACTAAACTATAGATATCGATTATTGATTTTTTTTTATTTGTTAGGCTGATGATATTTGACTAGGACAATGTTAAAATCAGCAGATTTGTTTTGTAGCTTTTTTGTCCAATTTCTAACACTAACGCATTATGTATACATATATATCAAACTTCTGGCGAATGTCATGAAGACTTAATACCAAAACATGTAACATGAAACTTTCTTTGGTAGACTTTTCTCATAGTGTTGTAAGGCTGTGAGGCAGAGATGCGTTACATCATCGACTTTAATATTTTATTTCCTTGTAAGATTTTGTCCGATAACCCTACATTGGTTTTGTTTGTATAATTGGGTGTCAACCACACTATAGTTGGTACATGTACATTTTTGATTGTTTACACGTTGTTCGTCGCATGTTACTGTGTGATTGACAAAGTTGCGGCGTTAGACCGGATATCGTAGCATTTTACATATAAGTTTGAATATAGTAAGATTATTTGAACAATTCATAATTTAGTGAGAATTGTAATAATTTTTGTGGGGTTATTTGTCTCTCTTTCATCGTTTTTTCTTAACTCGTTCGTGGTCACAGGATTAAAATTCTAGACATTTTGGTTATAAAGCGTTTGTCTCGTGTTCAAATTTTCTGTTACGGAAACTGCTAAGGAAGATAACATTATTTATGCTATGTTAATTTTAGTCGTAGCTTCTTATGCTCCATGTTTTTTAATAGAAATATTTCTTGAACTCAATCTTTGCTCATAACTGAATAAATGACAATGTTCTTAACTTCTTATGATTATACTACACATACATGGTTTATCTAGAGAGTGGAACAAGATGTGTCATGTGTATATATATAACTATTTGTATCTACTACAAAACACAAACGAAGAGACTATTCATATGCAGTAACTATACATACACAAGCTTTAATTAGCACTACCTTATTTATATAATATATCAAAAGCTTTACCCGTAAGTAGCAAAGTCGAAGAACATATCCAACATGTCTTCCGGTTTCATTTCGGCTTCTTATGTCTCTGTTTTGGACCTAGACTGCCATGAGGAACTGGCCCGGGATAAGGAAAACCTCCTCCGTAAACCGGGCTCGGATTCCAAAACCCGTAGTCGCCATACAGCTTTGGTAAAAAGCTCTTGGATTTAACCCTAAACGAAGGATCTAAATCTTGAGATTGAAATTTGTTTGTAGAGATAGAGGGTCTTGCCATTACGGTGGAGATAATGACGATAATGAAGGTAGTTATGAGAAGCATAGACATGTTAGAAACATGAAGACGCATTATCATCAAAACTCTTACGATCTGCATGATGCTCCTACCTATTTTGAGCTATTTAAAAACAGATTACATAAAGGATTACAGCTCATATCTTGTTGAATTAATGTTTTTGTATAATTATGAAACTAGCTTGTTTTATATCAAACGTATATTGTAATTAAGATAAGGCATTTGAGGATTCATTAGTTGTTTTTGTTTATCACGTCTTATGAATGAAAAAGATCATTCCGTTTGCATGTACTTTGTTGTTTATACACTAGGAAATGAAATCAGTTGGCTATTAATTCTCAAAAATAGATCAAGGCCCAGTAGTATGGTAAGGCCCAAATATTGTGCTGACTTAGGGCATGATTTGTTTCACGTTAGTAAGTTAGTGGTCAAATCGAATTCTAGTAAATGATTTATGCGAATTCGTTTTTCTTTTTGTCATCATCTATTTAAAAGATACATATCATTTCATAGCAACACACAAAATTGAAACTATAGTTAACAATGATATCATCGGTTTGATTTTCAGAAAATGGGTCGTCATTTCTTTAAATGACACATATACCAAAGTACTACAATCAAATTATTAACGTATATTTTATCCCCAAAAGGAACAATCAAATATTAAAAATATTAACAGCTATAAATTAAATTGTAATTTATTTATAGAGCAAAGCATTCTTCCGAACGTATCAAAAGCTTTAAACGGTCCATTTTCTTTCTATAAGAAACAAATCATGACATATTTTTTAGAAAAAACAATATGTACTAGGCTTAAATTTTGTTTCAGGATTCATAATATTAAAAGAACATGTGTTTTAAATGATTTATAAATTCTAGTTAACCATATGATCCGTACCGAATAAATGAGATTTAGTCAACGACGGACACGCTTTGATCCAAATGTCTCCAATGTCCCCATCTTGACCACACCCAAATATCCGAAGTCTTCTTCTTTGTTATGTTTCCCGGCAAGTTCAAAAAATTAATTGATCTTAATTATGATTTGTAAAGATGCTTTATAACAGATGTGAGTTTCATTCATGCATCAAACCACTGGTTTGTGCCTAATCTGAACCGTTAACCTTGTATTAGTAGTATATTCCAACTGTTATGATTATAATAGCACACCAAAACTATCCGTAAAAGTTATGATTAAAAAACATTCAGCGCGTAAGACGTAACTACATATCTAATTCGGAATAGTAAGTTGTCCAAAAGAAATGAATCCGATCGACTAATGAGAATGATACGATTACCGTGTGTACTGTGGGATCTATGGATGTATTATTTCTTTTTGTTTTGTTTTTTTAGTTACAAACTCTTTAACAAGAAAAAAAAGTATTTTTTAGCTATATATTAAAATTTAGAAGATATATATGTATGAATATATCTAAATTTACAATTTATTTATTCTATAATATCATATTATAAGTTTTGATTACAGAAAATGTATGAAGTTTTTTTTGATAAACCGTAGAAGTTCTGAATCTTTGACCCATAGTATTTTCTGGTACCCGAGACCAGCCGTTGATAGTACCATGTTTAAAGCATCAATCATCCTTCCCAAGTGAAGTTGAACTAGTGAACCTTGAGCATTCTAAAATATCTAAAGTTACTTGATTTTAAAAGAAAAATTCTAAAATATAGGATTTCAAGATTTTAACTGTGATGTAAACAAATATATAGTTTTTAATTTGTTTCAAAATATAAGAATTAGTAGAAAGATTGTTTGTTTTATTTTATAAAATAAATTTATTTGATATTTGATAACCATTTATATTTTGCAGTTTTCATCTTGTGTTACTTGATATTTGTTTACTATCCAATTAAATTTTTTTTAACCTAGTGTCTAGTGATGATCTTTTTGGTGAAAACCATTGGATAAGTTAGTTTCCGGTAGTCAGACCGATTTTGGATTTAAATTCTTAATACGCATTATTTCTCTTTAAAGAAAAAATACGTTTCTATGAAGACCAAGTAGTTATGGTCCATTCACCTCAAAGTCCAAAATGCAATTAAATAATGTGAAATTGTGAGGAGAAGAATCTATCAAACTTTGACATCAAGGTGGAGCGAATGCATTGCATCTGAACGGTGGGCAATCCTGGAAACCGGTAACATTATCCCATTTTTTATAGTTAAACATTAGTATTATAATATTACTTCGATTAACTATGTAAAATATGATTCTCATCAGTGTTTGTTCTCCGACAATTTTGCAACCATCTGTCTTTGGTTTCAACCCGATCTTTATGTTCTATGGTCTATACATTGTGTCCATTGTTTATTTTGTTTCTGTCAAAATGTGTCTGTTCTTAAGTAACACATAAGTAAGTAGTCATTCTTTGTTTTAAAAAAAAATTAGATTTGTTATTAAGATATGGTTTAATTGTTCTACCAATTATTGAGCGTAAAGGCTGCATGTGTACTTCGTCAAGCCATCCGCAGCCGCATGTGAGACCAGTTTGAGTATTTGCAATATTGGCTACGATTTTTTTTTTTTTTTTGGAAGAAGAAGAGTTAAATTTTTCGTTTGTTTACTTGCATATGAAAGTGATCCATCCCCGGGTAAAGCCTCTCATATTTCTGCCTCTCATTTTTTTTTTTTTTTGCAGTCATTAGTTACTTTACAAAGCCTATATGTAATCTAACCATCTCTGCATGAAAATCCATGAAGATCTACTTGATTTTTTGTTTATCTTAAAAGAGAGATGCAAGACATGCGTTCTTCCATGTATAGAAAATAAACATATTAAAATATTAAATATAACATAATACTATATATAACAATATTATTTTATTTGAAGCTTATTAATATAGTTATAAATTGTTAAATCTTTATAATTATATAGTGTGTTATATATAGTGTTAACATATCAATTAATAAATATGATGTAAAAATATATGATTGTATTAATATTTTAAATATTTTCTCTCGTGACAGCTCGTCGACTATCAAGAATTAGGAAAATAAGTAATTGTATATTTCTTTTTTTTACTAGTCAGTAATATGTTAAATTTCTAAATACTTAAATTATATAATTTCATTTAATAATAATTATTTCTCAATTGATTATTAAATAACACATGTTGTAAGTTTGTTGATTTATATATTTAGAGAAAATTTGGTATGCAACTCTCCATATCTTTACTTGTATTTGTATTTTAGGATAAAAATGTTTGAAATTATTAATATGTTGATAAAATTATGATATTTATAAGTACAGTAGGAAGGTTTCTTTTTGAAAATAAGCAATTGATTTAATTTTGTATCAAATCATACACTTGAAAATTATATATTTTTAACAACCAGATTGAAAAACAAGTATTAACTAGATGATTAATATAATTTTTATGTTTTCAGATATATAAATTATAATTTAAAATGTCATTAACAAATCATGATAGAAATAATGAATATATTGAATAAAAAGTCATAAATCGTTAATTTAATCAAAAAAATCATTTTCTTATCAATCCAAACGAGTTTTCATTCCCATAAGTCAATTGAAAGTTGTTTTCTTATTTCTTTATTATTTCAATATGAAAACAAGAATAAATAATAAAAAACACTCTGGATTCTACCCAAAAAAAAAAAAAAACTCTGGAATTAAAATATGACAAGCAATATACAAAAAACTCAAAATATAAACTATTTCCATCCAAAGCTTAAAATTAAAAACGGTAGACCCATATAAATTCAATAGTAACTATTTTTTACCATGTCCTCTAAAAAATAAAGATGACAACATATTTAAATATCGGTTTTAGTAACAAATTACATTTGCTTTAATTAAACAGATATACACATCAAAACTTAACTCGCACTTAATTAAAAAAAAATAAAAAATCTATAATCATTTGTCACACCAATCGTGTCTGTTTGCCGTCTGCTGACCAATAGAAGCAGACAATATAAATCGACACGTGCCTAGTTAGCGCGTGGGCTCCTCACCACACGCAATATATAGAAATCCAAATAAAATCAATTAAATCATAAACAAATTAAAAAAATACTTTAATATGAAAAGAAAAAATAACATTTAAGAAAAATAACCACTAAAAAAGATAAAAAGTCTTTTAATAATAAGAAGAAAAAAAAAAGCTTCTTCACTCTCACTTTCCTCTTTCGTGGAGACAAAAAAAAGAAGCCACGTAATATGGATATAATTACCAAAACTGCCACTCGGCCGCCCCTTAAAGTCAAAACCGCGGTTGACTAATATTTGTTGTCTCCTCCTTTTATAAATAAACTCTCTCTTTCCTCACAACTTCTTCACATTAACAAACTCTCAAACTTCCTCATCTTTTTTTTTTTATTACATAAACAATTTTTGTTTTTGTTGTTGTCATGACGCCGACAGTTAAAACGGCAGCCGTCAAAACCAACGACGGTAACGGAGTCCGTTACAGAGGAGTGAGGAAGAGACCATGGGGACGTTACGCAGCCGAGATCAGAGATCCTTTCAAGAAGTCACGAGTCTGGCTCGGTACTTTCGACACTCCTGAAGCAGCGGCTCGTGCCTACGACAAACGTGCTATTGAGTTTCGTGGAGCTAAAGCCAAAACCAATTTCCCTTATTACAACAACAACCAGTGCTTGAGTTTGAGCCAGAGCCTGAGCCAGAGCAGCACCGTGGAATCGTCGGTTCCTGCTCTCAACCTCGGATCTGACTCTGTTAGTTCGAGATTCCCTTTTCCTAAGATTCAGGTTAAGGCTGGGATGATGGTGGTTGATGAAAGGAGTGAATCGGAATCGTCGTCGGTGGTGATGGATCTTAGCTATGAAGGACGACGTGTGGTTTTGGACTTGGATCTTAATTTTCCTCCTCCACCTGAGAACTAAGGATTTAATTATGATTATTAGATATAATTAAATGTTTCTCAATTGAGTACTATTTGATCATCAAGTAGAAGCTTTTAATATTTTTTTTTGTCATCAGCAGATAGTTTAAAAGAATTTTTTAGTGTTGAGATCGTGTTTTGTTCCAATCTGCTGATGTTTTTATAAATAATTAATTATAATTCTGATCAACTAAAATAATACCTTGTTTTGGCGTTGATCTCTCTGATGAACACATAAGGTTGTTGATCTTATGATTTTTATCCATATCCAATTGGATTTGAGGAAATACATAGTAGAATTCTTAATTACTTTTTTGACAAAAAGATTAATGGAGAAAATACTTTTATTTAGGATAATGAGATTATTGGTCAAACACAGAATTGCTAAGTTCTTTTTTCTTGTTGCATTGTTTCTTGTTGCTGTTTTGAACAAATTCAATAATAAGTTATCTTTTTGTTGCATTGTTTCTTATTTTTATGGAAGGTGGCATTTATGTTAAACCTGCTATTATAAAAACAAATCTATCTAAATTGTTTCATACTTTATTGGGTTTACTTTTGTAGACCACATGGTTTTTCAGCTAAAACTTAATCCACCAGAATTCAGATCTATTGTATTTTTTTTTTCTTAATTAAGATGAATTTTGTATATCGCTACTTATGTGGTCATATATTATTTAATTTTCATTCTTTCCTATAAAAGAAATTGGAAATGTACAGTCGTATCAATTTCGCCATGGTCACTTAAAACTATATCAGTGAAAAAAGAAAGTGAATAAAGGAGAGATAAATTTATAGGATAGAACTTTTTTTTGTCATTGATTTGGAAAGACAACATGTATAAGTCGGATGAATACTGGGAAAATGTTAGATGAATAGTACATGTGTATAGCCGTATCATTTTCAGTCAATGAATTTTTTTTTGCATAATGTATCAACGTTAACACAAACTGAACTTGGACCTCGATTGCTAAACAGCCCATCAGTTCTTTTGGCCCAGAAAGAGAAAAAAAGATTAATACTGGCAAGTGTCAAGTGTCAACAATGTCCATTGTCTTTTAATTATCTTATACAACGAGATTTCAATTAGCTTATATAAATATTTTTGACAGGAATAATCTTTATTTTTTTAGCCTATCAGTTCTATATCAAATCTCAAAAATCATTCATTTTGAATTTGTTAACTCTCGGATATGATGAAGAAATCAAATGGGATTACATAACAAATCTGAAGATTAATTCCTCTCGAATTTTTTTGAGCTAAATGAATGATTTTTGAAGAGATTAGGATTACGACCTAAATTCATTGATAAAGAGGCACACAAAATATTCACATAAAACAAATAGTTAAAAACTCAAGAGTTATAAACCAGAAACCAAATTTTCCAAAACCGCGGATTGTTTTTGTTAGGACTACGTTTTGGACATATCTTCGAACCATTTTGATTTTATACACGCAAAAAGGCATTACATTGATTAAAAACCTCAAAAATGATGGTCGGCCACTGCCGCCTCACTTTCAAGTAAAACAGCACTAAATTGTTATATTACATAGACCTTTTTGTTTTGTCAAATAATCAAATAAACCTTATGTTTATGAAAACGACAAGAGACTCACAAGGAATGACCAAAATAAACATTTAAACCCATACAATAATGTAAAGTAGTAACCCAAAGTTTGAATTGATTTTTCACAACACGAGCGATCGATGTCATGCGACGGCGCGTGGGGTCTCCGCAAGAGCCAAAAGGGCAATTTGGTTAATTCCATGTCACACCGCAGAAACACATGCAGAGGTTCGTCATAGCGAGCACATGCTTAAATACTTATTTACTAGATAAATTACCCGCACTATGTGCGGGATGAAATGACAATTAAAGAAGTGCATTGTAGTTTTAGTTATAAAAATTATTGTATTATTATCCGGAATCCAAAATCTGTTAGTGTATTATGAAACATGTTAAAAAAAACGTTTTATATTCCAATCATCGATTTTTCGTATCGGAATTCGTTTTATCCGTAAAATAATTAAAGACGCCAATTTCTTTTCTAACATAACTTAAATAACAAACACATATACATCTTTGTAAAAGAGTTGATGAAGATTTACAAAATTTAGATTGCTCGAAAACTAAGAAGATGTGTGTTTGGTAAATTTGAGAGGATGAAGATGATATCAGGGAATATATTTATAGAGAAATATTTTTGTAGGGTTCCGTTTAATTTTTGAAATTTGGATTGCCTTCAAAATTTGAAAAATTAATTTATTGTTGATTTTATGATAGATTTAGTTTTGAGAATTAATTTTATAAATGTAGTTTGGATTTATGAACCTAGGAAAATTTGTACTTACAAAAGTTATAAAAATATATTCTAATATATTAATTTACATGATTTATACGCTTACATGTTTGAGTTGTTAAATATATCTATATATATATATGTTAGTCTGGATTTAAAAATATAGACCTTAGATCAATTTAATATATATACATATACACGAATTCTTTATGTATAGATAGGATATGATGTTTGTATTACTGATGTTTAATGTTAATTAACGAAATAATTAGAATATCATGGCACATTTGTAACTAATCTAGTAATATATAGACCATTAGTTTGCTCGATTTATGAAATAAAAAATGTCTGGTTGGATATATAGAAAGATGTTATGCATATATAGAAAAAATGTAAAATTTTTTATGTGTTTGCTAATATAGAAATAATAAAGTTTGTCTCGTATAGATTGTGTATTTTTTTAATTTTTAATTAGAAATTCGTTTTTGATTAGTGGGATACATGAGACTAATGGCAAATTTTGTAAATAGTCTAATAAATCTTGGGTAATTATCTAAATAGAAGCCAAATCATTGTAAGAACGACACATCAGCGTGGCAATCTTGTTAATAACACATGATGGTAAGGTTTTAAAAAAAAAATGTTTCTCTATTAATATATAGAGGATACGACCGGTTTCTTAAGCCTAAAACATATTTTTTGGTTAGTCTCTAATCTATATACTTATTTAATTATAAAATCTCTCGGCTAACTCTATCTGTCCTCTCTCTCGGTAACACTACATGAGTTAGATTTCAAATCGCTTATCAAATAGTTACGCTAAAACAATTTGCAATAAGACTATTAAAAATTGGTAATTTATTACATATTACAGACGACTAACACATAATTCTGTGACAAAATGTTATATAGTCTCATATAACTACACGAATTCGGTTATAAATCACATGTAAAACATAAGCATAAAATCATCACAATCTGCATGAAAAGTTTGATTTCGCTACATGAGATCTCCTATATTTAATTAATTTTAAAATGAGATATATAGACTTCTTATGATTTTTGAGATAAATTAGATTGATTCCACTGAAGCAAACATGATTCATTTATTACTGAATTTAGTGCTATTTAAATTTTAAAAGACACAATTAAACAAGTTTAGCCGTATGCTATTATTAATAACAAAGATATTTGGTTATGTGAATTTGATATTATATTTTTAGATGTTCTCTATATGTATACATACGTATATAAGATTGGTAAACATGAGCAGAGAAATTATAGGTAAACATGAGCAGAGAAATTATAGGACAATTAAACTTCCTCAAAATTTATCAGAATACTTTTGTTCAAAATTTTACAAAATAAATAAAAGAAACTATTTAGAAACTCAAACTCATAATTCTTTAACAAAAAAAAAAAAAAACTCAAACTCATAATTCACATATCTTGTCCGTAAGTGAATAAGCCAGTCCAAACTCACACGCTTGCTCTGTATTTATGTCTCTCACTAGTCTCTATCTCTTTTGTTTGTTTCCCTTCTTTTCTCAGTCTTTTGTCGTGTTTATAGAGAGAGGCGCGTGAGTCAAACAGGACACTAGCAAACCAAAGAGCTGCACAAGTCAGTCCGTACTTCACGACACGCCATAGAATACGATAAGATTTTTAAACCTCCTCGAAACCGACATAAGCGACGGTCGTAACACAATCCACAAACATCATTAGATCCATATTCAAAGGTTGTTAAGTTTTTGTTGCTAATTAAGAAGTTTCTTGTTTTTTCCGCAACATGGATCTCTCATAACAACAATCGATATCCGACTCTTACATAACGAACAAAAGAAGGATTAAATTTAAAAACAAGTCTACTAACTCTAACAAAAAGATATTTGCTAAATTAAGAAACTAAAGTAGTTCCACCGAAAGTGGTCTCAAACGGCGCCGTATAGAAAAGTCGGGAAAACGGCGCCGCTACATCCATCTTTATCGTTTGTTTCACAGCCAAAGCGGTGGAGGCTCGTTGAGGTCAATGGCTAACCCACGTCTCACCGTAACAGGGGAAGGAGAGGAACTCATCATCGGAAACCCAACCACTTGATAAGCAGGCGATGACGTGGCTGCGTTAGGCGAGGAGGTGAAGTAAAGCGGCGCTTCGGTAGAGGAGTAATCTGAAGTTTTGTCCTTTAGCACACCGGTTCGGAGAAAAATCCGTTGGTGATGGTGGTCGGATATAGGAGGAGGAGGAGGAGGAGGCGCGGTGAACCAGAGCTGCTGATGTTGGTGTTGGTGGTGTTGGCTATTTGCGGCGGCGGTTGCGGTGGAGGGAGGGGAAGGGAGGTGGTTAAGGTCGAGAGAGAGAGGAGAGGGGAAGTTAGTTTTGGCTTTGATACCACGGAGGAAACGAGCAGCGCCGTCGTAAGCGAGAGCGGCTTCTTCGGGAGTGTCGAAAGTGCCTAACCAAACCCTAGTTTTCTTCCAAGGATCTCTTATCTCTGCAGCGTAACGACCCCATGGTCTCTTTCTTACTCCTCTGTAATGCACCTCTCTTGCACACGTCGTAGACGCCATTGTTACAATCTCAGAGGAAATGAGAGAATCTAGAGAGAAAGTGGAGAAGAGAAGAAAGAGGTTTTGCTTTGTTGACTTGTTTGACCCAAATGAGAGAGAGTGAGTTTAAAGAGGAAGAGGAGGTGTGTTTGTAGGGCCGCTTGAGAACACCCGTAATCCTCGGCTTCTTTGACGATTATCTTTTTTTTATTTTTTGGTTTCCTATACGTAATATATATGCCGAGTTAATAGTAAAACAAAACTGAATAGTGTTTGATTTCTAGGATCGAGGTTTTCTCTGGGGTTTGCAAGAATCAAGCACCGTTCGATCTTTTGCTGTTGGCTGATGTGACTGTGGTATGTTGAGAGATTGTTACACGTGGGTGGTCGACACCAAAATATGTTGTTTTGACGATTTTAGAAAAAATAATCTTATAAAGTGAATAATTGAATGGACTAATTGTACGACAAAAAGAGAATGGACTAATTATTCTTTCGATTTTCATGCTAATACTGTTCTTTTATCTACCATTTTTAAGTTTTGTTCATAAAGAAAAATGTTTTGTTAGATGTAATCGTTAGGGAAAAAAACTTTTCAGTTCTATTCTCAAAACGACCACATAAAAGATTTGAGAGATGAAATTGTCCAGATGCATGCAGAAAATGGTGTTACTAATCAACCATTTTTAAATGGTGCCATACTTTAAATTTAAACCATTACTAATGACAAGAGTGCCATAACTTGCCCAGACATATGTGGTCTAGTGGTAAGGGAGAACTGGGGATAGGTTGGAAGGAACTAACCCAAGTTCGATCCACCCTGCAAACAAAAATCACATATGTGTGGGAAGTTTGGGTTTGGGCCTTTGACCCAAACAGTTTACCTGGTAGTCAGTAACAGGCGATCTGGCTACCCCTGGCATTAGTCGGAAAGCATTCTAAACTCGGAACAGACACTGTGGTGGCCCTTCGGGGAGAAGTCCATTCTGAAGCACTTCGGTGCGTTTCTACCGGAGCTGACCAGATCAGCCAATAGGATTTATCAAAAAAAAAAAAAAAGAGTGCCATACCATAAAAAAAAAAATGTATGCTATCATCGAAGAAGATTCATTAGAAACTGTAACTAATATACCAATCAGTTTCCAAATTTCCATAGGTAAACATAAATTCTTTTTTTTTTTTTTTTTTTTTTTTTTTTTGGACAAAAGGTAAACATAAATTCAAGTTCTTGTTTTCGATCGTAACAATCTCGATGCTTTTTCTCACAGCAACCATCGAGAAATGATGAAAGAAAACAAAAAATAATAATAAAATTTTGTATATTTACGAAGAAGAGAAAGAAAAATGGGCCGCCTCTTTGACTGGACCTGAGGCATTGGGATGCTGACGTAATCCCTAGTACTGATAATAGACCTCTCTCTATCTATTTTTTAATCTTTGCACTCTATTATTTGACAAGTATTTAAATGCTCTCTTTTGGGGTTTTATTGGCACCCATATTTATGATGTGATTATGATGCACGAGGACAAGGCTACAAGCAGATCATTAAATAAAGTAACTTGACACAACTACTCTATCTTTAGCTCTGACTGATTTTGTTTTTCCTTTTGTCCATAATTCATTAGCCCATCTTATGCAAATTTACTCTACTCAAGTCTAAAGTACTACTAATAGAGTAGATTACATAGGCTCTTAGTTTCCTCTAAAAAGTGCCTTTGGATAGTTAATTGTACACGATATATTATTTTATCAAAACACTTTTTCTAAAGACCATATTCTGTATTAAAAAAATTATTTTAGTAATCGTAGGAGTTAAAACTTTAAAGCAATTGAAGTAGCATATAATTTTCAATAATAGACAATATACTTAAAACAAATTAAAATTAGTGTGAGTTTTTTTTTGTTTTTTTTTTATGAACTGAAGTTTGATTAGGTTCTTTGTCTTTTAACTTCTCTCTTTTTCTTCTTTTCAAAATCCAAACGAAAAAAATAGTAAAATGCACAAGAAGACGGATTTTGTAAGGTTTTTTTTGTTTGTTTTTAGGGTTACGGAAGAAAAAGAAAAAAGAGATGTGTTTCCTTTCACGTGACAAGGCTTAGGGTCTGTCGTTTTGATTGAACAAATGCATTGGTCCATATCTAACAAAATTTCTACACGTGCGAACTCTGATGTCTGACTTCTCTCTCTGACAAACTAGTTTTGTGATTTACTTTTATTTAAATTAACCCTACCTATAGTAAAGTGAAAATAATATCCCAAAGCTATAAGAGCATCTCCAATGGTAGACATCCATAGAGTGTTTCACCAATATAATATTAATATTTTTATGTTTAATTTATTTAGAGAAACTCACACTAAAATTCTACTTCCATTGGTGAGATATCTCTATGGATGTCTCATCAATATAATATTTATATTTTTATATTAAATTTATTTTTTCAATAATATTTTTAAACATATCAAATTATATCTTAAATATAGTCATTCAAACAAAATAATTATTTTTTCTATAGAAATAAATAATATAATGAATATTAATAATTTTAAAAACACTAATTAATAGTACTATTCATTATAAATAATATTATATTAAAGAGACTATTATTTTTAAAACCACAACTAAACATAAATTGAATTTTAAACAACATATAAAACCATAATAAAGATATATAAATTAAACACAAAATTACATATAAAACCATGATAACATAAATTAAAATGCAAATAAAAACATACAAAACCAAAATAGATAATATATGTTTTACTCTTCACTTGATGATGCGCCAAACTTTTGCCATATATGCTCAATTAAGTCGGCTTTTAGTTGTTGGTGTATATCTCTATCACGAACTCGAATTCGATTGCCGAGAAAATTCAAGAAAACAAAAACTAAAAACCAAAAAGGATAGTCTTGTACATAAAATTAATATTTTAATAAAAAATTTATATTAAATTTTAAACATACCATTTAATTATATTAGAAATTTTGTAAAACAATATGATTAAAATTACACATCATTTTATCAAATAGATTTTAATTATATTGGACATTTTGTAAATAATAACATAAGATAACACATTATTTATCAAAATATCAAAATATTGACAAAATATCAGATTATTCATCTCAGATTTATTTTCTAATATTATAGTATTTTATTAACTAAAAATATTAATTTATATTTATATTAACCTTAACTAATATCAATTAAAAATAATAATAATAAAAATTTAAACTTTTGTATAATGGAGCTTGATATATAGATAATTTTATTTGATGAATTGTAGAAAAATAAAAAATAATAAATAAAAATTTATAAACTATTTAATTGATATTATAAATATTAGAGTAATTGAATTTAAAAAAAAAATTGCTAAACCAATCTAGGAGTGACATGTGTATGAGAGAGAGAGTTTCTCACAATGTCTCAAATGAGAAACGTGTCTCAAAATGTCTCACTTTTTTTGATTAAAAATTTATTTTTTATTTATTTTTGATTTATTTTTATTATGGATGTCTCATGGAGACACTACCATTGGAAGTGCTCTAAGTAAGCTACTACAGTAATAATCATTTTCAAGAATTGTTTTTGGTAGGAAAATTTAAATTTGAGCTTTCGTGTTCACGTGAGCCTGTGATAAGAGCTTTATGACGTGTCTTTGTAGTAGCAGCTCTCTCTATAGAGAGAGAGAGAGAGGACAAAAGGAGCATCGTCATCAAGTGGTGCTGACCGCCTACTACAGAAACAGAACACAACACAACACACACACGAAATCATGACTTCGATGTCTCTCTGCTTACGTGTCTTCTTCTCATTCCATGAACCCTCTTCCTCTCCTCCCACACCTGACCTGACTTCACTTTCGCGCCTCTTTTTTGACTATTTGTTGCTTTCTTATCTCTCTTTTTACAGGCTTACTTTACTTCCATAAATTTTTACGTTTTACCATCAGCTTGCTCTTTTTACTATCACCACGTCAGATTAGTCACTGTGATTCACTATTTCCACTGAGGAAAAAAAAAATACTGGAAAATTTTAGTTTAACGTTAGTGGAGGTTTAGAATAAAAGCATTTTGTTCCAAAAAGAAAAGAAAAAAGGGATAAAAGCAGCAAGTACCAAATGTGTTTCTTGTCTGTTTAGCCATTCTAAACCAGAACATAAATAACAAAATTTGGATTCTTAATCACCAAAATCTTCGAGGTTCATATCTATTAAACAACAAAATTGAACTTTAAGAAAATTGCAAGCTTTCCTTGTAACCCCAAAATCCATAGGAAAGCTTTGTAACGGCTAACACAAATATTCTTCTTTCCTTCTGCAACTTCACCTGGTGACTCTGAAAGCCTAATAACAAACAAAAAACAATAAGCCAAAATAGTTGGAGGAATGTATAAGCAATGGGGTTTGATCAAAATGAGGGGGAACAGTTTCTCATTACCTTGACCTGTTCCAGTAGATTTTTGGCACGCTCGTTGGTTTTAAAATGATCGCGAACAGGCTGAGATATATTGGTAACAATAAGAAGCATATCATTCATATACATAAAATAACGACTAGGACATCAAAATAAAGATTGAAAAGAGACGACTTTCATGTTCCATGATGATTATACTGATGCCAGAAAATTGAGAGAAAAAGACGACTTTTTAACAAGGATTGCTTGCTCATTGTTTGTTGAGGGTATCGTCATTTATAGAAGGAAATGTACTTACTTGCAGAGTTATATTCAATGCTTTCATCAGGGCTTTCTTCAGATCCTCAGGATGCAGCTCGCCGCTCTCGTAGTCGGCAACAATGTCTTCAAAGCTTTTGAAGGTCCTGACAATTTAAAGAATTTCAAAGATCAGTCTGAGATGTGATTATGCAAATACCATATGTGATGCAGAAACCCAAAAGTTGCAAGATTTAGTTCAATCTACTCACTTGTTGCCCCCATTCTTTTCACTTTCAACCTTGAACTCATTGAATCGTGGTAGAACAATGTATTTGACGTATTCGAGACATGGATTGCCTTCCACAGTTTTCGGAGGGCAATACGCTTTGTTGATCTTCTCATTAACATCAGCCTGGAAGACAAAAGATCATTACACATTTCGATACCTACAAAAAACTCTTCTCTGT